ACTTATATGATACCTAATGGTCTTCACTTTCTTGTTAGTTATAAAGATATAAAGGAGATGTATTTAATAGATTTCAAAACAAAATTGAGAAGATTTTTTGGGGGGGTGAGTAATGATTTCATGGCTTAAATAACTCTATGCTTTTTTCCTTCCCCCAGAGTCAGCTCTTTGAAGAAATGGGATTGGAATCCGGGAACTAAAGGGTGGCTCTGCTAAAGCTAAAATAAAGAGCAAGGGAGACTTTTTTTCCAACACAAACTTAGATGATATTAGGCTTTGTATCTGAAGTTATATAATAGAGGATGTGATGTCACACATGTAAATTGCAAACGCTGAGTCTTGCATTTTATGGTGGCAAACCTCAGGGAGTTTGACACTAATGGGATGAAGGAGGGTGATGTCCTAAGGTATAGCGACTGTAAACGGAGGGTGATCTATTTTCAAGAGGGAGATAACTATTGCTGCTGCTTCAAGATTTAAGACTATTTGGCGGCTGCAAATTGTCTCTATTTGGAGATGAAGTTCTTTTCCTGTTCTTTTCCTTTCTTAATTTTATTTAAAAAAAATTTTTTTTCATCCTTTTGCAAAGAGAAAATATGCTTATCTAAAAGGATGAAAAGAATAAACTGTTGAGACAGCTTAAAAAACAAGCAAATAATGACATTAAGTGTACACTTTTTTAAGGTGATAGGGCTCTTTATTAACAAGCATTGGCACAGAGTATTCCAAACAACTAGAAAACCCTGCATCCCCATCTTTGATGGAGTCTCTCAGGGGCATCACTTATGGGGTGATTCCAAGCAAAACGTCACCTTCTCTTCAGATGAGGGAGCCACAGACCTTATCCTGGAGCTGTTCTCCCTTAGGGTAGCACAGGACTACTTCTTGTCTTACAGATGGCACAACAAAATAAAGAGAATAGGAAAACTTACTTGTTAAATGTTTGGGCAAATAGCTAAATACTTAGATATCCCCAAAGATTTGACTATTAATAATTGCAGGATCCCCAATACCCTTTCCAAAGGATAAGAGAAGCTGCTATATATGGGCATATGCTAGTCCCTACCCCCAACAATTTTGGTGTGAAAAAGTTTTAAAAGAATACTTATATACACTTAAAAACTCAATCTTAATTTTACAATATCAAACGGTTTTTAAGGCAGGGAAGATAAAAATCTGAGAATGGACAAGAAAAAACACAGGAAGAAATCTTTGCACCATCTTTGCACCTGTCTGATCCTTGACAAGTTGTCTGTAATGGAAATTATTGGTTAAAATCATGGTAGAGTTTTAGGTAAAGAATGTTTATGGTAAATCATTTTTAAAGGGGGAAAGATAATCGATACCTAATTTATTAATTTTGTAAACAGAATTTACATAATATAGGTTTCCTTAAATAAGAGTTTTTTCTAACATTTCATAATGAAAAATTTCAAGTATACCAAAAAGTTGAGAAAATTTCACAGCAAACACCTGTATACCCACCAACTAGGTTCTACCATTAATATTGTACTTCAATATACACATGCTTCATCACATATCTATGCATTCTTCCGTGTATTTTATCAACCCACCAGTGTCAATCCATCTTATTTTTGATGCATTTCAAGATTCAGTTTTTGCTGTCAGGACACTTGTAATTAATTATCAATATGTTCATTTTGAAAATATATTATTTATTTTTTTCTTGATTTCGCTTAAAACATAATACCTTAAGAACTTCACATTACCTACAAATAAGGGAACTGAGGCAAAAGGTTGTTTTATTAGAGGCCAAAATGCCACCCTCAGCCATCTAAGAACTGAGTAGTGCCAACGCTGTGTGGGTGATGGACGCAAAGGGAAGCTTGATATTCGGACAGTGGGAATGTGATTGAAGAAAGGCAGTGATTGTTTCAACAGGGCAGCTCCGAGTTTAACAGGGTTTTGTGTGGGAAGAGATTAGCAACTTTCACAGCTATTTAGGAAGAAAATGGGAAAGAACTCTGAAAGGGGGGGGGCGGGGCGGTTAGGATGGTGGTCAATAGATCCGGTACGAAAAGAAGTGCTAAACTGGAAAGGGGGTGTGTTGTTAGGGTTGTTAGTTCGCGGGGTTTAAAAAACTGAATCATAGAGCACAAGCTGGGAAGCGTGTAAGGGGTAGTGACTCTCCCCCCAATAACACCAAGGTTAACTGTAACGGTGCGGTGGAAGAGTGGGGCTGAACGTATATCTCACACACGTGAGTGAGCGTGAACCCGCGCGCGCGCGCGCGCACACACACACACACACACACACACACACACATCCCCTGATGGGGGTAATCTGTGTGGCAGAGGGGCGGACGTGGGACTTCGGGGAGGCTTCGGAGCCCGGATTCGGCAGACAGCTCCGCAGGGCAGAGGGAACGGGAGAATCCCGGGATCGCTGGTCACAGCTTCATCTTCTGCCCCTCGCGGTGCGCCGGCCTTCACCGCCCGGTCGCCCCCCTTTCACTTTCGCGTCTGCGTAGGTGTCTGCCCCGGCTGGTGCGAGGGCGCGGGGGCGCGCGGGGCGGCGCGGGGGCGCGCAGCGCTCGCCGAGCTTGGGGGGAGGGGTCCTGGCGCTGCGCCCCTTCCTCAGCTTGCTCCACCGCGGCACCACCGCCCGCATCTCAGGCGCTATCAGAGCTAGGGGACCTGTCGCGGCCGCCGCTCCTCACCAGTCTCCCCACACGCCCCCACGCGCAGCCACCCGTCCTTCCTCAGCGCCCCCCCCCCCCGCTACGGTGGGGGTGGGGCAAAGGCGCCGCGAAGCTCGAGAGGGGGAGAAGAGCAGCCTCACTGGGTGGGCGGCGAGGGAGCAGGAAAAGAAACTTTTCACTCCCGCCCCCCGCGCGTGGTCCCCAACCCGTGCCCCCTCCCGCCCCCCGCGGGTGGGGACTGCACCTGAGGCCAGGGCGCGAGCTCAGGCCCAGACTTTGGGAGGACGTGGGAAGTGGTGGAGGGAGGGTTACGTGCATCGGGGGTTCGGTTTTTCCCTCCGCCTCTCTGCTGCCAGGGACCAGGGTGAGAGGGCAACCAGCCACTGGCGTCCCCATCCCGATTTCCCACCAGCCGGTGGCTGGACGCTTTGCAGCCTCCTCCAGCGGCTGAGGGTGTGACCCGGGGAGGGGGCCGCGGCGCCGCGGGCTCCCCCTGCGGCCGCCCCCTCACATACACACAGACACACACGCTCCGCCGCCCGAGCTGTCACCGGCCACCCCAGGCCCGAAGAGGGGGCGCGGAGAGCCGCGCTGCGGGGCTCAGGCGCGGAATCATCCCGCCGTTACTTCCCGGCTTCCAAGGCTGCCGCCGTCAACGCCGGGGAGACCAGCAGCCCCGGGAAAGGGGCCCGCTTGAGGCAGGGCCGCTGCTGCTGGGGGCGAGCGGGTGCCCGCGTCCCCTTCTGCGCGGTTTGGCGCCGCCGCCTCGCCTCCTCCTGCGGGGTAACAACACTACTGGTCTATAGCTCTACCCACCGTCAGTAGGGCGACTGCCGGGATTATCATCCTCTCCATCCTTACCGCCGATCTGGTAATATTGGACTTGCTGGTGGCGGCGGCAGCGGCGGCGGCGGCGGGAGTCTCGCTGCCCTCACCCCACCCACCCCCTCACCCCCCGCCCCGCGCCCCAGCTTCCCCACCATGTCCTAGAAAAGGTGAGTGCAGCGACAGTCACTTTGCGCTGACAGCGGCGGGAGGGGGTCCGGGGATCGCAGAGGGGGCCCTGGGGAAGGCATGGTCCGCGTAGAGGGCGCGAGTGGGCGAACCGAGGTGGGCTGTGGGCACGAGACCAGGTGCCCGCCGGGCCGCCTCCGGGCAGGGGTGCTGGGCGGCAGGCGAGCGATCGCAGCGGCTGTCCCTGCAAAATCTAACCTAGATTTTACAAGAAGCTGAGATCCAGGGCAAGACCGGCCCTCCGTAAAAGAGGTAAAAACTTAGTAAAAGACACACGTCCATTCCTTTAATAATGAATAATTTGTCAGCGCAGGCTGAGCCGCCGCCTCCTCGCCTGCCCCGGCGCTAGCTAGGTCCCGGACTCCCCTCGCTCCTGCCTGCCGCCTGCGCTCGGCCCGATGCGATCGATGCCAGACTGCTCGCCTGGCCCGGACAGCGCGCGTGACGGCGGGCCCCGCGGGAAAGTTGGGACACTTGGCGATGACTCCCGGCTGCGGGGTCCTGGGGGCCTCTCTGCGCAGGGGACTACTGAGCACCGAAGTCGCCCCCGCCGCCAGGGAGTTCCCCTACCTGGAGCGGCGGCGAATTCGAGTCTTCCTGGGTTCGGGGTCTGGAATCCCGAAGCTCAATTACTGTAAAGAGAGGAGGGGGCCTTTGGGCACAAACAGGGTGAACCCCCCCCCCTCCGATTTTGGCGGGTGCGAGGCCAGGGTGAGGCGGGAGGCTGCACAGCTGCCACCACCGGGCTGCGGGTCGCCGAGGGCTGGGGGACCAGATTTAAGTGTGTACGTCACTAGTGCTGACTCCGGGCCAACCGGGAGCCCAAAACGGAGCCTCAGACGCGGAGCCTCAAAGTCCTTAGAAATCAAAGTTAAGAAGCCCTTCCTTTTGCTTAGTAACTACAGCGTTTGGGTGGGCGAGAGGAGAGTCGAGGAGGGGGCGGTTGGAGTGTCTTGCAGACACTCGATCCTTAGAAAACACTTTGATTCCTTTCCCCTCCTGTGTATTTCTCCCAATTATGGGCACTCCCTCCCACCCATCATAAAGAAGTGAATATCCTCGATGGTAAGCTTTCAAATTGAGCTAGTGGAAAAATCCAATACTAAACTAATAAATGCACCAACAAAATCATAAAGGAGAGCCGCAGCTCTTGACCCTGGCACTTTTTTTTTTTTTTTTTTTTTTTTTTGTGGGATGGTGGGGGGTGGGTGGGAGACAGGCTGCGTTTAAAGGGCTTTGGCTGCACTGTTAAAACAAGGAAATTCAAATCGAGTGGGAACGTGATCCTCTCTTTCGCTGGCAGCGACGCTGCGGCTGCTCTGCCGAGAGGTAACTCGCAAGACGGAGGAAAGGGGCGGGGAGAGGAACCTCGGGGGTCGGGTAAAGCCCACTAGGAATCCTCCCCGGTGCGCGGACGCTGTGGGCGGTGCCTGGGCCAGGGCTGCCGCTCACCTGGCGCTGCAGGTGGAGAGTATGAGGGACAACACCTTGACTGGATCTCGGAAAAACCGACTTCTTCCGCGTCACTACACTTTTCACCTCTTTCCTGATAGCCTGAGGTCGGCAGGAGGAGAGTCAGGTGGGCGCGAGCAAGTTTGGGGCAGTCGAGCGAGAGGGGCGGGGGGCAGCGTGCGGAGAGTGTCTAGTGCCCTGTGTCGTAGCTGCTGCCTGGCACCCCAAGCGTCCGCCGTGGCTGCGGCTTTAAGGGAGCTGCGAGTCTAGGCTGTGTCGCAGCAACTTTGTATCAGTCATGTCGCCCTCCTGGTGACTGACAGCCGGGATTGTCCAATGAGAAGCCCGCCTGACCTGTGCAGCGTGGAGCCTTGCTTCCCTCCGGGCCAATAGGAAGGGCTCAGGGGGGCGGGATAGCAACCTGAACTTTATCTGGACATGTGACCACCCCGGCCCTGGAGCTGGCCCACTCCCCCTCCGGGCTTTCGCCCGCCCTCTCTCGCTCTCTCCGTTCCCACTTCGCCCGCCCTGGCCCTGGCCCTGCCCCCTCCTCTCCGCCCCTCCGCGCCCGGGGTGTCATTGGACCGGGGAGACGCAAGCCAACTTCAGGCTGCTCGGAGGAAGCCCGAGCAGTCACCTGGGTGCAAGAGCGTTGCTGCCTCGGGCTCTCTCGCTGCGGGGAGAGCGGCACTCGCTGGCCTGGATGTGGTTGGATTTAGGGGGGCTCCGCAGCAGGGGTGTCGTGGCGTTGGCGAGCGCTGCAACAGGTAGACGCCGAGAGACGGACCCCGGCCGAGGCAGGTGTGTAGGGGTGCGCCGCGGGGCGCCGCTTGCCGGACTCGGCTTGCGGCCGCGGCGCGGGAGCGTGCACTTTGCAGGGAGAAGTGTCTGCGTAATCCGGAGGCACAGTCAGTATGGTGCTGTGTGCTTGTTGTTTTGTTTTGGTTTTCCACTTTTTACCCCCTTTGGCCGCCAGAGGACTATTTTGGGAAAGTTTGGCCACTTTGGATAAATGCCCTCTAACGAGCAGCTTTCAACCGCCTTTGGCAGTGGGAGGTCTACCTCCCTTCCTCTCCCCAAGGATGAATTTCGGATCGTTTTCCTTCTACAATTTTTAAAGGACGTTTGAATAATATTTCTTAACTCTATCAATTGCGGAAGCACCCAAATCTTAGCTGGAGGTGTAGCGGAAAAGGGCAGTTGAAGGAGATACAGATCCTGATGTAGCCTGTATGAAGAGGGCTCTGGAAATTCGTGCATTTCCCGTTCCCTAGTATTTATAAAACTCTGGAGAGAGGCTAACGCTTTCTGTGGCATCAGTTGGAATTCCAAAGGCAGGAGAGAAAGGATGAAGTTTTTTTTGTGTGTGTCATCCGTACCCTACTATAATGAATTTAGGTGCATGGCTTTTCCTACTGAATTTTAAAAAACTAGGTTTAAATCAGAATGGTTTATGGCACCATCAGTTTTAACTTTATTATAACCTAGAAGTTAGAAAAACTTTTGTTTGATAACAGACAAGTTTTTGAAAGCGGTGAATTTCTAATGCACTTAAATTGTTTTTTAACATTTGTATGGCCATTTCTATAGGTGCTGTTATTGATGATATTTACAAAGTAATTTTAACAGCATTCTCCATCTGTGAAGTTCTGTGAAGTTTTAATTTTATGTTTGAGCTCAAGGCACGCTAGCATTGAAATACCTGAGGATAGAAGTTTAAAAAAAAAAATAAAGGGGAGCTTTTTCCTTTAAGGGAGACATAGTTTGGCTTGGGGATTTTGGAAGGATCAGGTGGCTCAGTGAATTAGGTGAGTGAATAGAAATCAGGTGTGCTCAGTTCTAACTGGTTCTCCCGCTCTCTTAGGTGACCTTGGGCAGGTTTCTATCATTTACCTCGTGTCTAAAAGAGGAGAACATAATAATAGTTCTGTAGTAGGTATGACAGAAAAATGGTCACATACAGCAAACTTTCATAGCGATACAACCACTGAAAATTGTGAAATTGTTAAGGTTCTGTCTTTAAGATGCTCTATTACAGTGACATAACTATAGAAAATGATATGTTTTAAGTGGGACTATGTTTTGGGGATATTAAAAGTGAAAGTGTTTTCAGACAAAATACAAATTCACAAGAATCTTTGTTAATATTCCTGAAAAAAAAAAAACTATTTCCTTAGGAAAAACGCAATTTAACATAGACTGTAAAACATAAAATTTTAAAGTCAGGTTTTTCCTTTGCAAAAATAGTGCTTAAGAGTATATGAATGGCTTGAGGTAGAACTTTCATTAGCGCTTTTCCTTACTTTTGTGAAATTTCCTTTATGTTTTGAGGGAGGCCATTTGCATGAAAAATAAAGGCTCATAATGGTTTTTGTCTTTGTCCCAGTAGAGTCTCTGTTATAGTTTCTGCTGAAAGGGAGACAAGTCTGATTTTATATAAGCTAGATATGTATACATGAAGTGTCTGCTTCATCATATACTTTAGTAACAAAAACTTTCCCTTTACCCACTGGGTATTAAGTTCTATGAGGAGTATAATCATCAACTAGTATTTTCAGTATTTATTAGTAAGTTCAGGTTAACTGAAATTCTGCTTAAGCCATAGTTATTACGCCACTTCCAAAAAGACAACCTGGCTTTTTCCTGGACTACATAGGAAATGAATGCCTAACCTAATCTATTTGTTTACAGAGAAGACTGATTAAAATAATGGGAACTCAGCACAAAATATTTTAATGCTCCTAAGTTTTTAAGAACTCTGATCTTTAAAAATGTTTGCGTTGGAAGCCATGCAGATGTTAGAAGTCCTCTATTCTTTTGTGCTTGACAGTTGCCAACTTTTATTTTCTCTGTTGAGAGGTGCGTCTAAAGTTGGTAGATGAAGACAATACTTTACACAGAACTAATTTAGATTTCAGCAAAGCCTTTTGCAAATTCTTTAATGATAGCCCTGTCAATAACGTGGTGAAATGCAGCCTGTTTTATGTTACTGTTAAGAGTTCGAGGATAGCCAAATAAAACTTGGAAAGTTGTGATCAGCTGCATGATGTTAGTGATAAGATGCTTCCTTGTAGAGTGCTTTAAGATTGTACTTGCCTGCTCTCTTCCATGTAGATTCTCTTCGAATCTTCATGTACCCTCACAAGTCTGAGATTTGGCTCCTGCTTTAGAGCAGAGTGGTGAAAGGCATCCCTTAGAATATTAGTAGGTGTTGTAGAAAAAGGGAGCAGTGGCCAAGTTATTTAGAGGACGCTGGAATAAAAAGGAAACAGGTTTCTGCACTGTAAAACTTCTCAGGAATTCAGCATGCAGGTTTACACTGTGAAACTTCAGAAAAGCAGTTCCTGATCATCCTTTCCAAGAGAATGTTTGGAAGATGGATTTTTGGAGAGGGATCTGGAGATAGGATTCTCCTTTCAGACTGTTGCTTAGGGTTGGGTGGGGTGAGGGGAGTGGAGATGAGGAAGGAAGCTGTAGGTGGAAGGTGTGGAGGCTGGAGACTTTGGAAGCCTCTGGCAAGGGTCCCCAGGCAAGGGTGATCTGCTGGAATTAAGGTAGAGAGTGGTACGGTTCACCGAGAAAGGGAATGTGGGTTTATGGACAGGGTTCAGGGCAGGAGGTGGGGAGGGGGTGATACACAATAGATGTTCAGTTTTGAAGATGAATGGACATGTTTCTTCTGCTGTTTAATGAATTTGGACCTGAAACATCTATACCTTAGATGTGTATCAATTCAAGTTTAGTATGGGGAGGACAGAGTATTCTTAGGTAGAAATAGAAGCACAGAATATTATGGTTACAGGTAAATGGTTTTCCAGTGTAGAAGAGGTCAGTATTAGCAGTTTAAGTCCCATTTCATGACGAGTGTGTGTGTGTGTGTGTGTGTGTGTGTGTGTGTATTTCAACTTGTTTTTTATCCACACTAAATTTTTTGGCTAGAATTATCAGATAAACACCTCAACTGTTGTAATTTGATTTATTTTCCTCTGCTTTGTGATTGACTTGTGATTAGGAATTTATAGAATAATGTTCTTTAAATAAAAGGTTATATGCTAGATTTTAGTGTTCAAAAATTGAGTATTATAAGAGTTAACATCTTTTAATTTGTACTGGGTGATCTGCTTGGGGGCAGTGTTGAAATTGACAAAGTTTCTGCCTCCTGAGAACTCAATATGTAGTGTAGAATACAATGAAGTAAGAGATAATTACAATAGTTAGAAAATTTAGGCATTACATGTCATTATAGAGCCTTGTGATATCTATTGCCAGTTTATTTAGTAGAGCCATTCTATTATTTTTCTGTGTTAATTAATATAAGTTCTGTAGCAGAAGGACTTCCTAGTCTCTTTTCCTGAGGGAAAGCTAGGGAAGATGGGGGTAGTGAGTGGCCAAGGGGGAAAAGGATGAGAGGCCTAAAGTAATATTGGTGTACAGAACTGCAGAAACTGCTTCAGACTTTTATTTGGGTCATGGATTGTTGACACACCTGAAAGGATTTGAAAAATGCGTACATAATGATTTTAGCAGTTTTGTATATTATAATGTAAAAATGTAAAAATGACCTTTTTACTAAGAATGCATTAATTTTCTTTAAGATATGTTTCTTTAGAGTGGTGATTCTCAAAGCAGGGGGCATTTGGCAATGTCTGAAGACATTTTGTTTGTCACAGCCGGATATAGGGAGTACTGCTTGCATCTAGTGGATAGGTGTCAGGGATATTGCTAAACATCTTACAGTGCATAGGACAGACCTTCACCACAAAGAATTATCAGGCCCAAAATGTCAGTAGTGCCGAGGCAGAGATACCCTGGTGTAGAAAGAGACCTGGGATCAAATTCCACCTCTGCCACATAGCTATTGGCCTGTGCCTCAGTTTCCCCAACATATTATTTGGATAATACTTAAATGAATCTTATAGGCCTATTAGGGTAAATAAGAGGCTTATAATGTGGCATCGAATTATATAGTGTGTAGGATTATGTAAATATAACCTATTATAATTATTTTGTCTATGAAATAAATTTACATAGAGAGCCAGTGGATATGGTTGTGTATCTAAGAAAAAACCTGTGGGCTCCCTGAGGATAAGGACTGTGCCTGTTTTGTTTATCACTATAGATTCAGTGACTGGTTGTAGGCCCAGGATGTAGCACACACTTGGTAAATATTTGTTGAATGAATGAACACATAAATTGTCAAGACTCATCTCAGACTTCCTCTATTTACTGTTGAAAAGAAAACTGTCTCTGCTGGAAGTCTTTATAGTGGAGGTACTACTAAGTAAGGATGCATGTCAAAGTCCCTGCCAGCATCGAAATACGGAGCATCTAGTGCTGACATTCCCGAGTTGTTATACTGCCTCTCTATGGAGCTGTGGACCATCTTAATTAATCAGGATACATGAATCTTTATTTTTCAGTACTGACATTATTTTATCCTCATCACTAATCCATTTTAAGAAAATCTTATTTTTTAAAGAAATAATTCTTAAGTTACTTTTCTTGTGATAATTCACTTGATAACTTTAATTTCATATTGAGAAAAGGTAACATTGGTTGTATTTCTGTATTGTTTTTAATAAAACTATGTGTTAGATATGGAAAACAGCTTCCATATGCTTGAAAAACTCCAAAGGTTTTGGAGTCAGAAGATTTAGTTTAAACCCAACTACATTACATATCACTTCTTTGACCTTGGGCAAGTCACCCATATCACTAAGCCCTTCCTTTCCTCCTTGCCTGCCTCATCAGTCCAGGATTACTCTGAATATTAAATAAGTTAATATTTGTAGATATTTTGTGCAAATCTAAAGGCTGTATTATAGCAACATGTTACTTTTATTTAGATGCAAAATAATTTTATGTGATTGCTGCTTATAGTCTAGCTTCTGGACAAGTCATAGTCAGGACTGTTAATAAGAGTACCAAAAAGGTAACAATTTTAATATAATTAGAAGTATTGCTTATGACAAGTAGAATATGTACATATAGCTTAGTAAATGGAATTTTGGAATGTCTTCTAGAGTAATATTGCTATAAATGACTCTAATTCAATTTTTTAATATAAATTTATTTGTTAGCTATGGAGACCAAAGGCTACCACAGTCTGCCTGAAGGTCTAGATATGGAAAGACGGTGGGGTCAAGTTTCTCAGGCTGTGGAACATTCTTCCCTGGGACCTCCAGAGAGGACCGATGAGAATAACTACATGGAGATTGTCAACGTAAGCTGTGTTTCCGGTGCTATTCCAAACAACAGTACTCAAGGAAGCAGCAAAGAAAAACATGAACTACTCCCTTGCCTTCAGCAAGACAATAATCGGTCTGGGATTTTAACATCTGATATTAAAACTGAGCTGGAGTCTAAGGAACTTTCAGCAACTGTGGCTGAGTCCATGGGTTTATACATGGATTCCGTAAGAGATGCCGACTACACCTATGATCAGCAGAACCAACAAGGAAGCGTGAGTCCAGCAAAGATTTATCAAAATGTTGAACAGCTGGTGAAATTTTACAAAGAAAATGGCCATCATTCTTCCACTCTAGGCAGTGTGAACAGGCCCTTGAGATCCTTCATGCCTGACTCTGGGAGCTCTGTGAATGGTGGGGTCATGCGTGCCATTGTTAAAAGCCCTATCATATGTCATGAGAAGAGCCCATCTGTTTGCAGCCCTCTGAACATGACCTCTTCAGTCTGCAGCCCTGCTGGAATCAGCTCTGTGTCCTCCACCTCTGCCAGCTTTGGCAGTTTCACAGTGCACAGCCCTATCACCCAGGGGACTCCTTTGACATGCTCCCCTAATGTTGAAAATCGAGGCTCCAGGTCGCACAGCCCAGCACACGCCAGCAATGTGGGCTCTCCTCTCTCAAGTCCATTAAGCAGCATGAAATCCCCAATATCCAGCCCTCCGAGTCATTGCAGCGTAAAATCTCCGGTCTCCAGTCCTAATAATGTCATTCTGCGATCCTCTGTGTCTAGCCCTGCAACCATCAACAATTCAAGGTGCTCCGTTTCCAGCCCTTCCAACACAAATAACAGATCCACGCTTTCCAGTCCAACTGCTAGCACCGTGGGATCTACCTGTAGCCCGGTAAACAATGCCTTCAGCTACGCTGCTTCTGGTGCCCCAGCTGGATCCAGTGCAGCCCGGGATGTGGCTCCTAGTCCTGACACACAGGAGAAAGGTGCTCAAGAGGGCCCTTTTCCTAAGAGTGAGGAAGTCGAGAATGCCATCTCCAACGGAGTGGCTGGCCAGCTTAGCATTGTCCAGTACATAAAACCGGAGCCGGATGGAGCTTTTAGCAGCTCATGTCTGGGAGGAAATAGCAAAATAAATTCTGATTCCCCGTTCTCAGTACCAATAAAACAAGAATCAACAAAGCATTCATGTTCAGGCACGTCTTTTAAAGGGAATCCAACTGTAAACCCATTTCCGTTTATGGATGGCTCATATTTTTCCTTTATGGATGATAAAGACTATTATTCTCTATCAGGAATCTTAGGACCACCTGTGCCCGGCTTTGATGGTAACTGTGAAGGCAGTGGATTCCCAATGGGTATTAAACAGGAACCAGATGATGGGAGCTATTATCCAGAGGCCAGCATCCCTTCATCTGCTATTGTTGGTGTGAATTCAGGTGGACAGTCTTTTCACTACAGGATTGGTGCTCAAGGTACAATATCTTTATCACGATCGGCTAGAGACCAATCTTTCCAACACCTGAGTTCCTTTCCTCCTGTTAATACGTTAGTGGAGTCATGGAAATCACATGGCGACCTGTCATCTAGAAGAAGTGATGGATATCCAGTTCTAGAATACATTCCAGAAAACGTAACAAGGTAAGTTGGTTTTTTCCTCCTTTTTTGAAAATCATGGCTTTAGAAAATGTTGAAAAGGTCAGTATTCACAGTTGATAAATTTAAACACGTTTCAGCTTACTGTTTTATTTTTGTTTTCCACATGGTCATTTAGTGCCACCTCTTTCCATGTTTGTAAAATGTCACTGCTTTTTTGAAGTAGAGAAACAAAAAATTCTTAAAATCTTTTAGAAAATATTTGTGTTGATTGTGAAGGAGTGTCTGTGGGTTTCCCCTCCCCCTTTCCGCATTGCCTGTCGTAGGTATTTGGGAAAAGTTTATTTTCTGCTGCCTGTTACTATATTTACTTTAGCAGACTAGTGCTAGATTAATTTTTTCTTTAGCTGGTTCACTAGAATTGTTTTAAATTTGTTTCTTGTGGTCTTAGTCTTTTTTCTTAGCTTTTATTAATAACTTCATTGGTTATGAAATATGAAATTGGACCCCAAATCTGTTACCCACAAGCTCTGCACCCTCTTTTTCCTTTTTTGAGTAGGTTAATTATATGTCAGTCATGGTTTTCAATACAAATAAATCATTTCCTTAACTGTTGAGGGCTTTTAAAGACTCAGCACATCTAAAATTACTAAGTGGACAGTCTTGCTTTCTTACTCATATTGGAAGTGAAATATGTCACTGCAGTTCTGAGTTGGTATAACTTATAAGATCTGCAAGAAGACATACTTTACTTACTGTAAAATAACTCTTGACTTTGCTTTTTGCTTATAGCGTATTGTATAAATTTAGAAAAAAAACAAGGAAGAGGTTTTCGATATGACTCTGAAGGGTGGTTCTAAGTTATACAATGAATACTTGCATTGGACTTTGCTTCAGTACTGTTTTTATTACATGGTTGTGATAAATGGTCCCTTTATTGAACATATAAAGAATAGATGTCCTAGATACAGTTCTTTCACTTGGCATTTAGGAATATGTGGATTTTTCCCATAAAAACTTACATTTTGGGAAATACTTTCATCCCATTAACATGGGGTTTACGTGTATTTCTATATCTTTCTCCTCCTGTTCTCTTATGAGCCAAAAGCTAAAAGTTTAATTCATGCGTTCTTTTCCTTGTCGTTGATTCAAACCTTGCTCCTCTTGCCTTTATGGAAGCAAACATTCCTTTAAATGATACGTTATTACTGTTCTCGATAGCATGAACAATCATGTTCTGATACTGCCTCTATCTCTTAAATTCTGAACCCTAATGGAAGATAGCCTAAGATAGCATGGCTTTCATCAGGAGCAAACTCAGCATGTGGTCTCCTGCTAGTGCTTTGTTTTACTTTTAGAGAAGGAAATTTTGCACATGATGTCGATATTTTTGTAAGTGATGTTTTTGGTGAGTTAGTATGAGGGAGTACAGCCTGGTAGTATGAGCATGGCTGCCCGGGTTGAAATCCCAGCTCTGCCACCTAATTGCTTTGTGTTCCTGTGCATACCCCTTCCCCTCTGGGCTTTTAGTTTTCTCATCTGGAGGAAAAAGAAAAAAGAATTCAACAGTACGCATCTCAAATATAGTTAAGATAATTGAGTTAATTTTGCATATCATCTGGTATGCAATAGGTATTATATACATTTTAACTCTTACTGTTAACATTTGATTAGTGTGCACAATTTTTAGCTTTCATATCCTTTAGTTTTCTGTTTTCTTCACTATGTGAAATTGTAAAATAGTTTAAAGAAATATCTTATACGTAATTGAAAGAAATATTTGTTGATAATTCTTTTTTTCAATTCATTTTATTTCTTTTCATGTTCCAAAATTCATTGTTTATGCACCATACCCAGTGCTCCATGCAATACATGCCCTTCATGATACCCACCACCAGGCTCACCCAACCCTCCATCCCCTCCGAAACCCTCAGTTTGTTTCTCAGAGTCCACGGTCTCTCATGGTTCGTCTCCCCTCTCCGATTTCCCCCAACCCAAATCTCCTTTCCTTTACCCAGTGTCCTCCGTGTTATTCCTTATGCCCCACAAGTAAGTGAAACCATATGATAATTGACTCTCTCTGCTTGACTTATTTCACTCAGCATAATCTCCTCCAGTCCCATCCATGTAGATACAAAAGTTGGGTATTCATCCTTTCTGATGGAGGCGTAATATTCCATTGTATATATGGACCGTATCTTCTTTATCCATTTGGCTGTTGAAGGGCATCTTGGTTCTTTCCACAATTTGGCGACAATTCTTGCTAAATTCTACTCTATTATTATTTTTTATGGTTACACATGCATCATACATTTGCCAGTACATATTTATTTGCTTTTATAGTTTTTTTAAGGCTCTTGCTTTGGGTAATGATATTTCTGATAGCAATGGTAGGGCTGTAGTAGATAAAATCATTAGTTCTCTGCTTTGTTTTGTTCTGCATCCTATTTCTGCTATTTGAACTATAGGTTTTACACTCACTCAATTCCTAAAGCCCCTCCTGATGTTCTAGTGACCCATAGACTTAAACATGTTAATGTGAGTCACTGACCTTGAGCCTGCTCTGCATTTGAGGTGTTCAATGTCTCTTCTGGAGTACGCCAAAATTCTTTACATACGTGTTAATATAGTCAGAGGGGGTTCATTTTGTTTACATACATGTTGGCATTATCCTAGTGAGTATACATTTTCCAAAAACTCTAATAACAAAGCTTCAATGTTATGAAGTCTCTTACAGATTACTGATTCTTGACAGCTTTTTCTGGTGAGTATTATCCTAACCTGTTTGTTTTGATTATTCTCAGAATAAAGGCTCAAGGATTGGAAGATACTTAGATATTTTTCTAGATTTCAGTGCGCATATTAGAATATTTCATTTAACCTCATCCATACTTTATCACTGGTCTCTTATTTAATGTCTTCTGGATCAAAATCCAACCTTTTGGTCTACATCTTAATGTGGGATGATGATACCCTGTTCTAGGGGACGTGGAATAAATTAAAGAATTCCAGGTTGTGGAGAATCAAGATAGAATGTGACCGTTCCTATGTTTCATAATAACCTTTGTCTTTAGACTGAACTCTGAGCTGTTTTCTAATAGGTCTCAAAGTGTTTGGGATTCCTGAGACCCTTTCAGGGAGGTTTATGAATTGAAAGATCACACATTGGTAAAAGATCCACTCAAAATGGAAGATAGACCAGTGGCTTTTAATGTGATAGTGTATGAAAAGTTCACTAATACGGTTTCAGATCCACATTGCAACTAACCTTCAAGAAATTACTTACAGGCAGTTTTCAGGGTAGTATTAAAGAATCACATCTGTAGCTATCTCTAATGATCATTAAAGTGCTCATCCTTTTTCCAACAACGTACCTGCATAAAGCCAGATTTTTTTCATACATTGAACCAAAACCTGTCACCACACATTGAATGTAGAAGTAGATATGAAAATCCAGCTGTCTTCTATTAAGTGAGATAATAGACTTACAAAAATGTAAAACAGTGTCACCCTCCTCACTCAAGTTTTTGTGTTGGGAAACAGTTATTTTTTCATAAACATATGCTTTTGTTAACATGTAACAACTTCTTAGTTTTAAATGATTTAAAATGAATACTAGTTTTAATTTCTAATGCGATAAATACCATTAGCTGTAACTCACATAAACAAAAAGCTTTTTGGTATCCTCAGTATATTTTAAGAGTGGAAAGGTGTCCTAAGACCCAAAAGCTGAGAGGTGCTTGTCTCTTTTATTCTGTACACCCTTTGGAGATTAATGAAAAAAGAGGCTATTATTTTATTTGTGTTAGCCTCACTGAATATTATGCTGAGGAAGGAGTACCCTATTCACATAAGAAAAATGATTCTCATCTAGTTAATTTTTCAAGCTGATAGAAGTGAGTAATGGCTGTGAAGTGTGTGTTATCCTCATCCCTGTCTGTGGGCATCCTGAGAGAGCAGTGACGAAAGCCATCTGTCTGTTAATCATTTCTAGTGAGTGGATAGCCAGGCCACCAAAGTGTAAAGTAAATTATGACAGAAGCTGAATGTAAAGCCTTGAGGATGGACACTGGACCTGGTTATGTCATGTAGATTGGAGTTTCCCTGTCAGCTAGGACACAAAACTGTGACCTTGGTGAGTCACACCTTCTCTGGGCCTCAGTTTCTTCATAAAAAGTGAACATGTTGAACTCCGTGCTCTCCGAGGTCTGCCAGCCAGACTACTAAGTGGCTGTGAAGTTTCCTTTGAGTTCTGTATGTTAAAAATCAAAATAGAGTATCCTTTAACATATTTGCTGATCTGGTGTCAACTATATTTGAATCACAGGTGTAGCTGTGTAGTTTCCAGGGTGTTTTGGATAGAAAAATGTCATTGTCATTTATCTTTTAGAATTGAGTAGGGGTGAGTTATTATACTCTGAAAAAGCAGAGTATTTTTGAATCATGTCTTTTTTATTAAAGTTGATACTCATGATGAATTTCTTGTTCTTTTAATTTACACTCTTCCTTTTGAAAGCAGCGTTTTTCTGTTGATACAACATTGATGTTTATGGCGATGGTCATAGTCACTTTGATAGCATCATAAGAGCGCTAACATTGATTTAGACCTTTGAATATAAAGTTCACTGTTTCAAAGGGCATATTCTGGTAGGTTTCAAGATGGGTAGTCAGGTGTTTATAACTTTATCTGTGCTGCATTTTTTTCCATGAAAGAAGGAAACAATTTAGTAAACAACCTACAGTTGTTTTTTATTTTTCAGTTGTCCCTAGAGTTTTTAAAAACTCCCCTTCTGTAATAAAGCAAAAGCTTCAGAATTCAAGGAGTTACAAAAGTTGCCCTGCCTCTTAGCAAACTTTATGAGTAAACCATTGAGATCTAAATATCTCTGTGTAATGCAAAGTATGAAAAAATGATGATTGGGGTGGGATGTGGAATTGGATTGATTATTAGTGTTTACTATAATAAATCATTAAGAATTACTGCTGTCATTTGAAAGTGAAAACATGGAACTTTCTTTTTCTTATTATTTGTCTCACAGTTTTTT